TGGGAGACTGCTCGGAGTGATCTGTTACTCACCAGTTTGCAGACACGTGGACTCTCGGCCTTTTCGTACGGGCTACAAGCCTCTGTGGGGCTCTGTGGTTTCCAAATTTTCTAGCAGCAGGTTACAGACGTTTTGTGTTCCTTGGAGATGATTTAAAAGTTGATTTGTTTGGGTGTTTTTGGGCCTCGGGCCTCGATGTATTTCTGATTTGAGAGATCAAGTGTTAGTTATAAGTGGTTAGTTATAAGTGGTTAGTTATAAGTGGTTAGTTATAAGTGGTTAGTTATAAGTGGTTAGTTATAAGTGGTTAGTTATAAGTGGTTAGTTATAAGTGGTTAGTAATAAGTGGTTAGTTATAAGTGTTAGTTTATAAGTGGTTAGTTATAAGTGTTAGTTATAAGTGGTTAGTTATAAGTGGTTAGTTATAAGTGTTAGTTTATAAGTGGTTAGTTATAAGTGGTTAGTTATAAGTGGTTAGTTATAAGTGGTTAGTTATAAGTGGTTAATTATAAGTGTTAGTTATAAGTGGTTAGTTATAAGTGGTTAATTATAAGTGGTTAGTTATAAGTAGTTAGTTATAAGTGTTAGTTTATAAGTGGTTAGTTATAAGTGGTTAGTTATAAGTGTTAGTTATAAGTGGTTAGTAATAAGTGGTTAGTTATAAGTGGTTAGTTATAAGTGGTTAGTTATAAGTGGTTAGTTATAAGTGGTTAGTTATAAGTGGTTAGTTATAAGTGTTAGTTTATAAGTGGTTAGTTATAAGTGTTAGTTTATAAGTGGTTAGTTATAAGTGGTTAGTTATAAGTGGTTAGTTATAAGTGGTTAGTTATAAGTGGTTAGTTATAAGTGTTAGTTTATAAGTGGTTAGTTATAAGTGGTTAGTTATAAGTGGTTAGTTATAGGTGGTTAGTTTATAAGTGGTTAGTTATACGTGTTAGTTTATAAGTGGTTAATTATAAGTGTTAGTCTATAAGTGGTTAGTTATAAGTGGTTAGTTATAAGTGGTTAGTTATAAGTGGTTAGTTATAAGTGGTTAGTTATAAGTGTTAGTTTATAAGTGGTTAGTTATAAGTGGTTAGTTATAAGTGGTTAGTTATAGGTGGTTAGTTTATAAGTGGTTAGTTATAAGTGTTAGTTTATAAGTGGTTAATTATAAGTGTTAGTTATAAGTGGTTAATTATAAGTGTTAGTTAATAAGTGGTCATGACAAGCTACCTCAGAGATAGATGACTGAAATTCAGACATCTCAACAGTTAACATACAAATTTAAAAACTTTCGGGCTACGGTCTTATGATCGCAACCATTATTTCATTCGGGGCGTTTTCCTTTCGATATTATAATTTTTCAGTGAGCACAACTTATATTTGAAACATTTCTCCGTCACAAATATCTTACCCTCAGACTCACCAAATTAATCAGACTTCGTCACACATCGTTAAATGAACGATTGTTAGACTTCTGTGTCTACGCCTGCAAGATTACGTGTTATATTGTTACAGCCCTTGAAAACTATAAACTGCCGGGATGTTGTTGAATCTTGATAACTACTTTGTATCTAAATATTAATTAACTTAAAGTAAGTTTTCAAATAGCATTCGCCAACATCCTGATCTCTGCCAATCAATTTTGTAAAACCTTTATATGCGATTGTCGTTGCAGAATATAATATTAATTTGCTGAAATTGTAACGTACTTATTAAGTTTTTGCGACGTTGGTATGCATAACGGTCACACTTTGCCTTTGCAATACGTGATTGTGAAGAAGCCTGTTACAGTATTTGTCACTCGTTTATCTACTTGAATAAAATCGTTAAACGATTTATGATTCTAGCAAGTTATCTTTATTTTTACTGACAACTGTGGAGTGTGGACTATAATTGCAGAGCCAAACCCTGTCCAGCGTCCGATCTCCATTTGGTAATCTATACTGTCACATAACCACATAGAATTTGAACAGAAGTTTTCTCGATATCAGTTATGAATATCAGTTTTTTAAGCATCGTTGATGATTCTTTGATAGACAGTTTTTATCTTATTCCTATAGTCTACTCCCTTATTAAACAGACAATAAAGCCCTGTTAAGATATTGTGTAATTTCGTCCTAATTTCTTGTTTTCGATCAACTTTTCATTAGTTGATATTTGATACATTCGCTAATTTACATACAATTTTATAGATCGAAATAATAAATTGATCAATTTAAGTTAATCAATTAATTGACCCAATCCTCAATATAGACAGTAGAGAGAGCAACTGCCGTGTGCTATATATAGCACCATCATGTCAAGGCAACGCCGGGTCGGAATGATCCACACGGAAAATGTTGAAAATGTTCGGAGTGAAATGTTCTGGGCCTGGGCCAGGATGGAACCTGTCCCGACGGGACCGAAGCAGGTGAGTCAGTTAGACGCGCTGGATAGCGGCATCTTTCCTTACCCTTTTCTTACCCTTTATACCTCCTACACAAACCTACGTCTTACAGTAACTATAAACTAACTACCGAGTAAAAACGTCTTTGTTAAGATCACTGAAAGTGAAATCCCTTTCGTGAGCCTTTTCTCGAGTTCGCGGAGACCTGTTTATTTGTGACTCAGACTGATAAACTGGAGCTCGCTCGACGGTCAGTGGGGGATTTAAAGAATTGCAGTAACAGCTAAGGTTTTGCTTGTAGGGGGGCCGGGGGGCTCCAGCAAGCTGTCCACAGTTTAAACCGTATCTTCATATAAGGCCTAGTCCTATTCAATTTGTCCGGTTGAAAACTTGGGATAGGACATGAATAAGGGGAAACCAGAGAGAATCTCACTCTTCTCCTCGTGTAGGGTTATGACTCATGACAGAAATGATTTGACTTACCGAAATGTAAACTGTATTAATCAAACTTGGGATGTTAAGCCTTTCACTTTGCATTTTTCATTCATTATTTCAGATTCATTATCAGAACCGTGGCCCTAGAAGTAAATGTAAAATTGAATCCTTCAAAAAGGTATTATTTGAAGCACTAAAATTCAGGATTCTAATAGGTCGGATAGTTTCCAGAAATTCGTACCGATCAGAAATCCTTATTTTAGATGTTGTGGCTACGCAAGTATCATGTATCATATTTTACAGCTGTGGGTAATATTTTGTAAAATTTGAAAAGTATTTAACAAAAAAATGCACCTTCATGTGTTTGCTGGTTGTGCTGAAAGTTGGGAATACTCAACCTCAGTTCAATTAATGGCAAGGTCAAGCATTTTCAGCATTTCTCCTTGAAAAAGGAGCCTGACAGTCACCTCTAAAAATAAATCAAATTATCTGTGGACCAATGTAAGGAGAAATGCTGAAATTGCTTAATCTTTCCAAATTGCTTTACAATGTATCTTCGTAACCAGGCAGATGTTTATACTGATAAGGTTTTTGTGGTGATATTTGTTTAAAGATTCTAGTAGAGGCTCTTACGGGCAAAAAGACGTGTTTTCTGCTACGAGTTTAGAGACCTAACCGCTAATTGGACACAATAGTATGATGTCTAAGGATCGATAATATGTTAAGAAGTATAAATTTGGCCTTATTAGTCACGTGCTATACCAATGCGCGTTTTAAACTTTGACAGTCTATTACTCTAAGGCAAATAAAGTAATTATATCCATATTTTGTCAGCAATAAGATCACATTATTTTCTATTTAGTGTGAAAATATGAGCTAGAACGGACATAATCTCGCTGAGTTATAGCTGTTTGAAATTTATGATGAACGCGCGGGTGCCAATTGATAACAACTAAATGCTTTTGCGCGTAGTGCGCGTCGAAAATTTGGCAAAAACGCTTGCGGAGTGACAATATTCAAACTTCGATTAAGTATATGAAGTGGGTACTTCTCGGAAAGGAAAAATTTAGGCAAACACGATGTGACTATTTTTGGGTTGATTTAATACAACTGCAAAAAATTATTCAAACTTAAAGCAAAAAAGTCAAAATTTTTACCACTTTTTTGGATTTTTACCTCAGAACAAATAGAGGGATTTGTTTTATTTTTATACAATCTTGTGCGGCTGTCTTTTAGCTATCTTTATGCAAGTTTTGCCGACATGCCAACAAAATTAACTTGCTCAAAATATCAAAAAACATGGTTTTTTGGCCTATTTTTGGCCCAAAAATCGGTTTTTTGCGATTTTACCCCAGAACAATCAGTCCAATCATCTTGAAACCACTTTCAATCGATTCTACGGTCAAAAATACGTCTAGTAAGGTGTATCTGGGGTCCCTAACGTATCGAGCAGACAATGCCCGTAAGAGCCTCTACTATTCAGCACGGGGAAACTTCAAACCACTGTCTACCAGTACTAGTAAACTGGCAATTTAGTAACTGGTTACTTAGTAACTGGTAACTTAGAGAAGTCGGTACACAAATCACATGGAGGAACTATCATTACCAACTATCATTATCTTAATCGTGAAACTATGTACCACGACAGTGAAACGAAGAGTGAGTTTAAAGACATGCTCCACGAATATCTCTTGAAAGTTGAAACCCTTAACCCTGTGGGATCGTTATTACTTTATAAACTCACCGATCACAGCGATAGAGCCCAAATAACATGTCAAACACTCTTCTCAGCATCTGTATTAGCTTCTGGCACTCTGTGATACTAGCAGATTGGTAATTGGTATGGTATGTTCAGTAAATTTGCAAAAGTAACAAAGGTTGCTACCCTACTCTTCTCCTAGACCCTCTGACCGGGGCTCGCTGAGAAGTGAAAGCTTTTGTACCACTTCTGTGGTGAATTTCAACGGCATTTCTACGATCAGCTGTATTGACAAGGCCAATAGCTTAGCAGTGAACTGAATGGGGGAATGCAAGCTTAGCCATATGCTGGAAGTACTCAATTTTTTACAATTTCTATTTGTATGAATGGATTTGAAAAATTTTGTCTGGTCGCGCTAGAAAAATGAAGCAGGAAAAATGTATGGTAGACATTGTCTTTATTGAGCTAAATTAAAAATATCATCTTGTGTTTCAGATGAGTTGCTGTAAAAGCTACCTGGGGAAGAACAATGAAGTTAAGGTATGTCGTTTAAATTTTTATTCATGCAACAAATTTTTTTCTTATTAAAATCAATTATATATTACTGTGATAATATCCATTATAATTAGTTTATTGTTCCGTGCGTTAATTTCCCATGCCAAAATTTGTCCGGCCTTTTGTGTTGTTTATCATTTATTAAAATACCAAATTCTATCCTAATTCTAACCAATTATAATTACGTTATCGGTTATTGTTCCATACGTGAATTTCCCACGCAAAATTTTTCCTTTTTGTCATGTTTATAATTGATAAAAAGACGAAATTTCAATATCTTTTAAATAATTATAATTGATTATAAATTAATATAATTATCTTATCAATAATGCGATAATAATGTCTCGGATCTCGTTAACGGTTATTTGTCCAATAATTATTACACTTTCCATGTGATAAATAGTATACTCTCAGGCAATTTCCGTTGAGAGTTTCGATTAAGCTATTAAGTCCTCATCGTGTCTATTTTCCTGTAGCAATATATCGTCATGTCTGTCATTATCTTCGTGATGTCTTACGTTTCTCGCCTGTGTATTAATTCAAAGATACCTTAATTCTTGCCAAAGATTATTTGGTGATATTTCTGGGTTTCAAACCCGGTAATCTCTCGCCAAACCAATGGCTAGAACCGCCTTCCAGTTTACACACGTAAGTACATGACTTGTGTATGATCATATTTTCATGTTACGGTGTCTGCACAGTTCGTTAGTTCGTCTGTTCGTTAGTTCGTAGCTGAGAGTATTTCACAGTCATGTGATGAGCTGTCAGTTAGTTTCAGTTAGTTGATAGTCTGTGAGTTTGTTCTTGTGTCATGTGATGTTTGCTGTACTGTGTGTGTGATGGAGTCGTCTATTCAGGAGGGAGAGGAGGAGGTTGAGGAGGATCGTACTCGTAAAAAGTCCTCGTACGATCCCGTAAGTGATTGCAGATATCTGCCCCTTTTTTGCGTGCTAAGCACCGTTTTTTATAAAGGAACTGTGCTCTCAGGTTTCTTTAGTGCAGTAACTTTCAGCGTGCGATGCTAATTTTAACAAACTCTACTGCATTTGGTGCGACATATCGCACAGCATCTCTCGCATAACAGTTCTTGAACAGCATCTTGCACAGCTTCTGCCACAGCATCGGCCCTTTTCTATAAAGTGAAAAGGATTTGACTGGGCTGGTTATTTGCCAATTTTGAGTTTTCTCATATTATTCATCAATCCTTTGGTGATTTGATCTTTCGCTTGCTGATTGGAATGCCAGCAGTTTAAAACATATAATACTGAATGGATGAGCTTTAAGTTTTTCGAACATATTGGTACTTGGTTTTCAGTGCAGTGGTAAGGCTGAAACGGGAATTTTGCCGCTGAAACATCATTATATGAAGAAGAGCGATCGATCTTATAATTGGCTCAACAGTCAATTCATCTAATTTTAATTTCCATCTTTAATCTTCAAAACTGGAGAATAAAGTAAAAAGTTTGACATTGGTTTAATAATAATTTTGTGACTTCAGTATTTAACTTCACCATTGTCGGTGGTTCACAAACAATGGGCAGTTAAGCAGCCTAAACATACTTCGCGCCAGTCGCCACGATTCCATTGCATTTCAATGTTATTTTCATTAATTATTTGATGACAATTTCTTATCAAATTATTAAGAAAAATTGGCACCTGCAGCGCAATCATTGGCAACTACAAGTCGTGTAACGTGGAGGTGTTGTTGGTGAGTTCATCTCTAGTGGCCAATACACAAGATGAAGTTGACTGATTATGGTGATCTCCCTGAAGTAATCAGGCTCATATTAAGATTGACAGCTGGTGCAGGGGCTCCTAGCTTGTCACATGACACTGCCCACGTGTCAAGTGACACTACGCTCTTGTCACGTGACACTGCCCACGTGTCACGTTACACTGCCCACGTGTCAAGTGACACTGCCCACGTGTCAAGTGAAACTGCCCACGTGTCAAGTGACAATGCCCACGTGTCACGTGACACTGCCCACGTGTCAAGTGACACTGCGCGCTTGTCACGTGATACTCCTGACGGATTCTTTTACCAACATCAGCTGCTAAGCAAACCAAAGACTCTATGAGATGTTATTTGAGGGTTGAGTATCATAATACCTTTAGTAGACCAGAGGATTGACCTGCTGTCATCATAATAGCTAGTGATCCGCCCGCAAACGTGGTCCAATAATGCTGTCCCTGAAAATTACTGGTAAGTCCTGTTTATATAAAGTACATGGTGCAAAGGTGTTAATATCTACGCACGGACTGGTTGGCAAGCCACTGACCCGTAATTACTGGATCATGAATAAACAAGAAGAAGATTATAGACCACAAAACGATGGTAATTAGTCGTCCCGGGTCTCACAGGTGGAGTGGATTATTCACAGTTCAGCTTTCTGAGTCCCGTGACCGTCGTGTTATGATGGGGACGTATAGTTCTGTTCTTTTATTTATTGGTGCGATTATTTTATCTTACATCCTCAACATGTTATATCAGAGGTAGTGCACAACTATATATTATTTAAATGTCAGAGTTTGCACTCTATCATCTGATCAGCTGATCAAGGATGCTAAATTAGCTTCTTTATTTCTTTAATCAGCAGCAGCGTATGTCAAATTATGTCCCATACAAATTATGTCTCCTACAATTTACACGTAATTGTATCGGAGGTATCTCGTGTAATGTTGCAAGCAATCAAATTAACATATGTATGGACTATAATGGATCAAGAATAATAAAATATTGATAAGATCATAAATTTTGAATATCGTGTATCAGTGCGACTGAATCTCTGAATGGTTGGGCGACTGTGTGTCTCCATTGTCAATCGCTACTTTGGTGTACCATGGGTAAAGTTATTATTTAATCCATCTTCGCCGAGTTTGCGGTAACAAATTTGGTTCAACATGCAAATAGTCTGAAAATAGTCTGAAAAAGATTATCATTTGCATTTTCCTCAGCTCTCACAGTTAACCATGATGACGTACCGTCTGTTCCTAATTACTCAGCGCACGCGGAGATTTTGAAATATTTTTTAGCGATTAGTCATCTCACACCCGTCACTCTTCACCTAACTTATACCTAACTTATGTTATATTATTAATGCACATATTGCATTTAATTTGTGAGGCGTAAGGGTGTCGGATCGTTTTGTCCAATTATTTTATTTGATGCTATATGGCCGGTAATTACCGAATTAATATAAAAATATTATAAGGAAAATCATTTTTCCACTTTCAAATACCATTATTATATTCATATTAACATTATACTGTTCTTTATGCAGCGATCAAATATAAATGGACAAGATATAGCGTACCTACTTAAAAGGTGCAAGAAAACAAAACGGCAAAGCCTTTGATCAAATCGCCTTCTCAAAAATTTTAAATTTTGTATACCTACCTGCTGAGAGCAATAAGTATAACAGTGCTACACTTGATGAAAGATATACTTCCATACTTCTATACTTGATGAAATGCTTGCGATCTGTGGAAATAATTCCATCTGTTTATACTTTTCTATTTCTAGGAGTTGGTGGTCAAATATCTTGCCCACCCATGCTATAATGCCCACCCGCGGTGGTTTTCTTCCACCCTCATCGCGGTTCCAGTCCTTACGATTTTTGTCACATTCCACAAGCACATAATGAATATTCTGGAAGCAGATTTCAGAATTCATTTTACCGTATTTTATTTATTGTAGCATGTGATGTTTCTTTCTTGTGAGTCCCCCTGCCTCCTCCATCAAATTTTAATTCAATTTTCTTGGATTGTGGTAGGGGGGCCGGGGCCCGGGCGGAGACCCGTATTATTGAAATTCCTTGTAGAAACGGCGTACCAAAACAAATGATCTGCAAGTTCTGCTCACCACTAATCGATGAAATCCACGCAACTAAAGAAAATTGTTTAATGAAAATCCCAGCACTGGCCGTTAGCCATGATTATTTATGTTTCAATTGCTGTCTTTATCTGAAAGCCACCTTGATTACCATTAACCCTTTACCCAACTATTGTGTCAACCGCATTAGAGCTGAGATTGACCACCAAACACCATTTTCCATGTCATCTTGATTGTTCAGCCTTCATAGTTCATAACTATTAACCCATTACGTCTTTATTGACCGCCTCATTAACTCATCAACCATTTTGTCACTTGAAGGCTAAGACTGTGTCAATGTTAAGGCAACTAATTCAAATTGACTAACGATCCCCGGGGGAGCAGGACATGAGTTAGGTTGGTTATTAGTTGGTAATTAGTTGGTTATTAGTTGGTTATTAGTTGGTTATCAGTTGGTTATTAGTTGGTTATTAGCTGATAATTAGTTGGTAATTAGCTTGTAATTAGTTGGTAATTAGTTGGTTATTAGTTGGTTATCAGTTAGATCAACAAATGCCGACCTTCAAAAGCGGTCCAAACTTAACAATGGCCCGGTTATGCTATATTTTCAACGCTAAGTAGATGATAGGATTAAATTCCGTCTTGCTTCTTTTCAGTTTAATATGGGTAATCTTAGGATGTTGGAGAACCATTTTTATTTGTTTTTAACGTGAAAGTCGAGACTTCCAAGCGATCGCGAGTTTATGAGACCTGCATTGTCTTCAATTTAGGGCTCATTAAAAAACTTTTATCTCATTAGTCGGTGCATGTTAAAGTAATGGAAATATTTCATATTTTTCACTTTCTCGCGAAAACAATTTCAGCTTAGTCCGCCTCATGTCATCAGTAAAATTGAAAACGGCTTCGTTTTACTTTGAATAAATAAATTGCGACAACCTTACTAAGGACTTAAGGAGTTACGTTTAGCCTTAGGGCTATAAAATATCAATTTAAAAAGATTTTTATTAAGGATTCTAGTATATAAACTAAGCATATAATATAAACGGAGACTCCTAATAATATAAACGGAGACTCCTAATAATAAAACGGAGACTCTAATAAAACGGCCGAGTCTCCTAATAAGAAAACTTGTTTACCCTAACCAATGGCTTTC